CAATGTAGCCTAATAAAATTTCCTGTAGTCTACGCGCTTAACTAAAGCGAAGGGTCAATAAAGTTTACACTTCACATATTCCAATCGAACATCTTATGCATGTGTGTGGGCATTTGAGCACGTTTTCGGTTTAAAAAAAACATCATTCAGCAATCCAATTTTCACTCTGTTGCTGCTATTGGTTCTTTGTGCAACCATTGCGAAATAGAATGCGGACGGAACGAGCGAACGAGCGACGGCTGAACAAAAAATCATGATATGACTCACATTAGTCATAATTATATTGGGCCGCACACATTAAGCATCTGAGTGTTTACACTCACAGAATCACACGAACATCATTCTCGCGCGGCCCGATGATTGAATGAGCAAGCTGTTTGTAGTAGGCAAGCCCGAGTAGTAGGTGTTGAAAAACAACACTGTTTCCATACCAAGCGGATTGGTTTATGTTTTGACTATGCGTAATTTATTCCAATAGCGTCAATTCCCTTGCAAAAAAAAAACAAAAACAAACAAAAAACAGCAAGCTTGAATCATCGTTGCTATTTTCTCTCTTTGTTTCGAACAAACCGCTTGATTCACAGTACTTTTTCAATTTGCTGGTTCATTCGTTTGCATTCTGTGCCGCACTTTCCATTCATTCATTTATATCCGAAGACTTTTATTTCGCTAATTCAAAGAAAGTAAATCGTTGACTTTGTGTGTCTATTTCTCTGGCTTATTCGATGTTGGTCTAATTTCTGCGGCCTATTGTTTTCGAAAAAAATGTAGTTGTCAATTGATCGATGATTGTGATAAGAACGTGCAAAATTACAAAATTGTGTTGGGGTCTCCAAAATCGCTTATTTACGATATGTTTGCCATGCGCTTGGCTTGTTTCAGCTGGGTTTTGATACGATTTAACCAGAGAAACCTCAAACCCGTGTATCGCTCTACTTGCTCCACTCCATTTCTCTATATGCCTCGTTCTCTCTCTCTCTCTCTCTCTCTATATCTCTCACTCACACACCGAAAAGTTAATAAGATTGTGTGGTTGCCTCTGACAATAATGCGCTTTTAACAAGCGAACGAAACTAATTTATAAATATCTTATCTTATCAAACGGTATTCTGTATGTAGACAGAGTGAACAGAACAGAAAAATAAAATATCACAGACGATAAGCGGTGGTTTGGTTTTCCGTTTGTATTCGATTGACATTTGAATAATGAAACTATTTTGTTGACTTTATCAAACATGAAATTGGCAGCTACGATTCAACCTATATGTGTTTCCAAATGGCGTTTTTTTCCTTCGTTCATTTGTTTGTTCCTCTTTTCTTTTGTCACGCGTATTGCAATTGTTGGCGTCGTCGATAAAATGTAAAACGAGTTTTTTTCCTTCAAGATTTTTTAGTTCAATTTTTCTAACTTAATTGAAGGTGTTCTAATTTCCGATATCAACACTAACGGTAATTAACTGTATTCGCAATAGTTTCGACGCTGAAGCAATGTTTTTCTTCGTTTCTCTCTCTCTCTCTCTCTCTCTCTCTCTCTCTCTCTTCCAATGCGATAGCATTTTTAATGCATTTCTTTTTAATTTAATTTTACAGTTTTATCGAGGGCAAAAGATTACAAGGAAAGCGAAATGAGGAGAGAAAAAAAGTGTAGCGGTTTGAAAAAGTCAAGCGAAGCAAATAATTCAATCAAATTTAACTTATATATATTCTCACCGACAATTTTTCCTCGGTTCTTTTCATTCACACAGCATAATTGCCTTGTAATCTTCTACATAGTATATGAATTGTGTGTTGGTGGGTACCGTCACTAGTTAATAGCTTGTGTGTTCAGTGGCGCGCGCGCCCATTTTTCTTCTTTTTCTTCTTTCTTGGTTGTCGTCGACGTCGTTGTTGTTGCTCTTTTTATTTGTTGTTTGTCGTCGTGTTTCATTCTCTCCGCAGAATACTTCGATTTAAATTAATTGACTTGTAGCCGTTTATGTCACTTCACAAGTTCGGTCGTGGTTGACACAACTTACATTTGAGCGAGCTGTTCTTGATTGCGCCACCGTAGGCATATACACATCAAACCATACGAAACATGCTCGTAATGAATAAATAAAACAACACCGAGCAGCGTGTGTGTGTGTGCGCGAGGATGAACAGAGAGAAAATCATGACGAGAAAAAATGCTACAAAGCGGCGGCGGCACTCACAGCGGATACGAGAATTTAAAAAGAAGAGAGAAAAAAAACGTCCACATTTTTCAAGTTTTTAAACGATGGACAGAAACCGGAGAGTGAGATACAGGCGAAAAAAAAAGAAATCACTTGCTTTTAGTTTAATATCGTTTGAATGTTCGATATGTCGTTTACGGTCGTCACGATAGAGCCAAATGAAACGCTTTCGAACTGTATGGCTGCTGCTGCTGCTGCCAGTTCGCATAATATAATATAATCAAGCGCAAACAATAGAAAGAAGCAAATGAAAATGAATGAGAAAAAAGGCGAACGCTGAACCGCGCCGCAATTATTTAATGTTAAAAATGATTATTTCAATTTAAACCAGTTCCAATGTTGGTGTATGCTTTTTTTTCGTTTCTTCTGTGTTCATTTCGTGTGCGTTGATTGCTCACAATCTGTCCAGCAATTGTGCGTACGTAAGTACGCGTTTCGCGGTATGCACTGTGCTTATGGGCACATAAGACACGAAACAAACAAACAAAAAACATATGAAGCGATTACTTTATCGACTGCGAGCGAGCGAGCGGTCGGTCGGTCGGTATGTAGCGAGTGAATATGTGACTTTTTTTTCTCTTCAGCAAATACTTTTGGTTTTAGTTTTAGCTTTAGTGAGCTCTTTGTTGCCCCTTGCACTTTTCATTTGTCTACTTGCCGTTTAAATGTGACTTCAAAATCGTTTTATTTTCTTGCTTTGTACAAAAATCCATATCAATTGGCTGTTTGCACCGTTCGTTTGCCGTCTCTTTTGTGCACGTGGTGCCTTTTTAATTATCCGCACAATGAACTTTAGTAACGTTTTTTTTTTCCTTTCTGTTCATTACTTTAACTGTTAGAAAAATACTTACGGAATTACAAGTTTTTCCATCAAATCTCATTCGAATTGTAAATTTATTGCGTTGTACAGTGGGTTTTGTATATTCGATTGGTGACACGATTCGTATATAAATGAAGTGAATATATAATTGACTCACAACGAAATTCTCTCTATATCAAATGAGGAACCGGGATACGGGATACGCGGTATAGATATGAGTCATGGGGAATTATGTACTTTCCAAAAGAATACGAATGTCCGAAATCGGTCATTTTTAAGAAGTTTCAAATCAGCTTACACTATCAAAAGCGAGATAATAAACATGTGTTATAACTTCATCACGCAGTTAAATGGGCTGCAAGCAGAAAAACTCCGAAAAATGACTTCAAATCGATGCATTTCGTCTCTCTTTTACCGCTTTCATCTTGTTCTCTGTCTCTCCCTCTCCTGTTGGTCGTCGTCGGTAATTCCTTTTGTATTTCATCGAAGGGTTCTGTTTGTTGAGTTTATCCATTTCTCTTCAATTTCATTATCTTTCTGCTGCATCAGTTTTCGATTTGGGCCTGAGCATTTCACAAATATTGATGTGGAGTGGAAACGAGCAGTGAAGAGACATACTTTTTTGTGTATATTCTGTAGAAATCTGTGTGATTCAGACGCTGAGCTCGTTGCTTCATCTCAACTTTTTTTTTATTACATTTTTCATACGTTTTATGTCCTTTGCGGATTTTTTTTCCTTCTTCTCTTGTTCTTCTCGCATTTTTCCATCGCCTTTGTACCACCATCAACTTGAATTATATTGATTCGCTGTCTCTTCGCTACATATTATCACATCTCATCATTTTTTTCGGTTTCGAACTTGTTTCGTTCCGTGAACATTTCAGCTTTTTTTGTTCTGTACATTTTCAGTCCCATCACTCGAAACTATCTTGTTCGTTGGTTGATTCGTTCGTGTACATTCCGATAGGCTTGTCCAATGTAATGAGACGAGGGGCGACGAACAACAAGACAAAGCGCATGAGAGAAGAAACAATATCGTACGGCCAAACGAGAGAAGCCAAATAAAATAACAACAAAAAAACAATTTTCAAACAAAGAAAAACGGTGCATCACCATCAAGGTGGTCTCTCTTCACTTAACGTTTAATCGTATCGAGTGTCTGTGTGTCGAACGTCTTCTTCTCTATTCCGTTTCACTGGCGCGTTTGTGTGTGTGTTTTTTGGCTTTGATTTTTCTACAATTCTTTCTCGTGTGTTAAAATGTATTCTCTCCGTTTCTCTCGCAACGCTATGTACTAATGTGCTGCTTGTTTGTGCACTTCTTTTTGTACGGATTTTTCTCTCTCTCTCTCTCGCTCGATCTTCTTTCAGTTTTTTTTTTCATCGTTTCTTTTGATTTCGTTTAAATTCAGCGTTGGTCTTGATTTCGTTTCGGTGAAAACCAGAAAAAAAACAAACAGTTCATTATTTTAGTTTTTATTGTTATATCGTATAATTACCGGTGTGCCGCAAAGCATCAATCGCTCACACAACACAAGATACGAATCGAAATGAAATTGTTTGTGGAAGTTTGCCTGTTTTATTTCATGTGTTGCCGCTCTCGCATCGCGCGGCTCAATTGAGAGACAAAGCGAAAACACTTGGTGTGACCACTGACTCGGATATATGAGAAAGAGGCACATTTTATTTCCCAAACCAAATTACCTGTATCGAGTGCTGCGGCAAATTTTATTGCCTTTTTATTCGGTGGAAAATGGTGATTCAGTCACTTAAGTATTTTGATTGATTATCTCTCGTGTCGACTATTTGAGTTGAAATTGGTTCAATCTTATCGCCAGGCCGGTTATCGAAGATGAATTGAAATCTTTTTTTCTACTAAGCAATAGCCATTTGTATAGAGAATGTAAGCCAAAAATAGCCCGACAAATTCATTAATTTCCACCATTTGTTCTATTTATTTCGTTACAGATCTGAAATCACAAACAACCAAACCGACGACTTCTTCAGTTCGTTCAGTACACACGATGAATCTCTATTGGACACCCATTCGAATGACATCCTGTCGAACCAATCGTTTTCACATAATCACGATATGTTGCATCCGATGGCGCACAACAATCAACACTCAAACTCAATGTCCGACCCATTGTCCAGCTACTCCACGCACACAACGACCACCACATCATGTTCGCGTTCGTCACGATGCGTGGACACTGATCTCGAAACATTGGATCGTGAATTGAATGCCCTGGACGCCGCAATGCCATTGGTTGACCCAGAAATCACACAAGGTGCTGAGCAATTAGAAAAGGCAATTTCACGTAAACGATCACGATCCGAAGAGGACAATGACCGTTTGGTGCGCGAAGCACTATCCACATTCTCACATTACCTGCCAAGTCCGCGTTTACTTTCCGGCATCGACGATTGCCCGTTGTTAATGCCATCCGATTCGAAACGCTACAAAACCGATTCATCGTCCAGCTCATCCAGTCTCAGTCTATCCAGCGAACATCTACTCGACTTCGATTTCGATCACAATCACAATCAAAGCCAAAAAGAATTCGAAGTCATTATGGACGCACTACGATTGGGCGGCACATCACAATCCAGCAACAGTTCATCGTGCAACGATTCATGCGGCCAAGCAGCAATGCTCAGTGAAAACGGTGGTGTTTTTCACAATTTAGTCGCATCGCTAGAAACATGAAACCCGGAGTATGAACACAGTTCGCAACGGAACCAAACTGGAAAAAAAATATTTTCACCCATTTTTTATGCTTAATCACCCGAACGCGTTTTCATATTCCTTTTTTTTTAGAAAAAAAAACTGATGAAAACAACCAGTCTATTCATGCATGGCAGAAAAAGTAAAAAAAAAAAATCATAAAACAAAAAAAACACAGATCAGATGAAATTATATTTACCTAATTTATATACACAGATACATACGCATTAAAAGTCTAAAATGTGCATAGCGATACGTAAATATAAGACAGAGAAACAGTTAACGTTTAACTGAACAGCATACAATTTACACAATATTATTTGAACAAAACAACAAGAGAGAAAAAAATGAATTCAAAACAAAGTAACACATGAAGAAAAATGGCAAAATTCGTTTTAAATGGAACTTTTTTTAGAGTTTTTAATGCCTAAGATGTGTATGGAATATATGCATCGGAATTTAATTTTTGTACAGTAAAATGCAATTTGATGTGGCAAATATGATGTTGGATGATGGAAAATCCACATTTAAAAATAATAATGAAAAAAAGCAACAACAAAAATGGTATTCATAGTTGAATTAAAACGAAATGTTCACACACAAAATACTAAATCAACAAACAGTAAAATAATTCAAAAAAAAAAAAACAATATGGAACATCATGAACCAAGTTACTCAAAAACATAGTTAATAGAGAGTTTTTACTAAATTTATAGGCAATTATTATGTTATAACCGAAGAATAAGGCAAAGAAAAGAATAACAATGAAAAATGAAGCAAAACGAGGTGTTATTATTAGAGATATTCGTTTTTTTGTTTAAATTAATCATTTATATATTTACCCGAAAAATCAAGTAAAAAAAAACTCAAACGAAAAAAAAATCATTTCAATAAATCGATAGGTTTAACTCTATATAGCAAGATGAAGAATATGTATCGCAATACAAACGGCAATTATCCAAAGTGCTTAAAACATGATGAAAGTAAAACTAAACAAAAATGTCAAAATGATAAATTCGATTAATACGAAGTGTAATCTTAATCCAAAACGGTTTTTACCTATCCACTTCATAATTCTCCTTTCGTTTTATTTTGATCGTTGTCCAAATGAAGACAGACAAATGAAGAACACACAGACACAAAATCAATTTGAAATCAGTATAATATAATTTATGCTCACAAATGCTTTGCATTTTACTTCGTCAATCGAAAAAAAAAAAAATTTTAGTTACGTAACACAAAAACTCATCAATCGCAATCATTTCCATGACCATTGAACGTTTATTATAGATATTTAGATCCATTCAAATTCCGTCGCAAAAACAACAACCAATCACACATAAAATTTGTAAAACAAAAACTCATTGCATCAACTACGGTTTCTCAATTATATAGTCAAAATGAAGTAGAAACAGAGAAAAACAAACACTTATTTCCTCCAAATTGCACCCAGCAGCTCTTCTGTATGCAAAGCATATCCAATACTTCCAAACTGATTCTCTTTTTCAATACGATATATTTGTTTTTGTCTTATTTGTGTACATTTTAACCGAATTTTTGCCAAAAGATCATTTTATGTTGCTTCTTAAAATAAATTATTAATTTTTCTTTTGTTTCGCAATTCTTGTTTGTCGACAAACGATCGATTCTTTATTTTTTAACACTAAAGTCTGTTAGTCAAATTCTTTTGAACGTTTCTTTTTATATTTTTTTTCTAGAAGACTCCTTAATTTAATAATTTATCTACACACCATAATTCATTGAGAAAAAGATAAGGAAAGAAAAAACAAACCGAAACACATACACACAAACATAGAGAGTAATCTCTGTCTCAATATGAATGAATAAATTTATTAACTATAACAAATAAATATGCATAAATTCTAACATGTAAACTGTAATTCATTATCCAGACGATCTATTATTTAATGAATGTTTCCATTTCTTTTTCTTTTTTAAATTATAAATCTATTCAAAATGTGTGTATATTGTACACCCAAAACAATGAAGTGCGAAGAATATACTATGTAATGTACATTTAACGGTTTAAGTGAAACAATGCTAGAGTATATAGAGAAAGACAGATGAATGAGACAACGGTTGTGTACGAAGGTTGAATTAAATAAGAATGCAAGCACGAAAAAAAAGCAGCAACAACAACAACAACAACAAAATGATATCCGACAGAATAAAATCACCTTCGACAACATACGATACATCATCACACATGGAATCAAGCAGGAAAAATGCAAAAAATTCGTTGTCGTGTAAATAAAATGGATGAAGAAAAGAAAAATTGCTAAAATATATTTCAACAAAAAAACACAACAACAACAAAACTGTATTATATTACTTCTATACGATATACTATTACTATTAATTATTCTATTATCTTGGAAAATTACCTTATGTGAAATATGAAGAAATCAAATAAACACAAATGCATAATAAATCAAACATTTAATTATTAAATGAAGAGAAGTCAAAAAAAAGCAAATGGATCGAACAACTGATATTGACGAAATGCATTCTCATACTCACACACAGGATGATTTATATTGAAATGAAAGAAACGAATGAATTGGCTTGACATTCGACACGCTGTTGTGTTTGTGTAAAATTGTTCCACTCTTTTCACAGCTCTAAAACTGTAAACCAATTTCTGACAACTGGTAAATTATCGATCATGAACAGTGCACCGACGAAGAAAAAGAAGAGAAAAAACAAGTAACAACAACTCAAGCCAAAATTGGTTGGCATTCATTTAGGTGATGTGTTTTCTGCTGTTGTTAACCTGTGCCATGCAATCGCAACAAAGATTCGCACTTTTATGTACCCAGCACAGTCTGTTGACTGTCATCTTGTTGTTTCTAGTTAAAATCTGGAGCAAAAATCGAACAATTGCACGCTTGCAATTTCGAACATCTGTCTCTGGCTCGAGTGCGCTTTGGGGCTCGTGTTCCATTTGCTCTAAACGCCGTGCACTTCGCTTCTTCTCAACGCAACAGCACCTGATTACATGTCGTGTGCAGTGTTTGTTGTTCTGTACACAATACGAGCCGAGGTGAAATCCAAACGGATGAAACGCTTTTCACGTTTGCATTTATGCCTCTCTGTGTGTGCTGCTTGCTGCCGAACAGCTCACGAAACAAAAGCAAAGACACAAAACAAATGGCAAACGCATTTAAATGATGTTTTATTTGTTAATGCACATATTTTCCTTGTTCGTGAGCAGCGTTCGCTTGGTGCTGTTGTATACGTCACTTTTCCTTCGCAACTTGTGTGTGTCTGTGCACACACAGCAACGCACAACTTTTATGAATTAATACATACTCACGAGCTCCTCTGCTCGTTCGTACAGTCACATGGAGAGAGAAAAATACACATTCACTGCGAAATGAGAGAGGCGATCGACATGTGAACCTAATTGAATGTGCCACTACTAATCGAGTGAAATAATAAAATGAATTGAACAATCCGAACCAACGGCACGAGCACAACGCGAAATGCGAACACACACACGTCGCAAACTAAGACGTCAAAAGAAGAAAAATGTTGTGGTAGCGCAAAAATAACAACACTATCGAACAAGAAAAAAAAAACTTTCTATTTTTTTTCGGTGTATAACTTAATTTTCGTTGCCATGTGCATTCATTCACGACGAGCGAAGCTATCAAGCTTCAGCGTCGTTGCCTATTTTAACGTTTTATTCTTTGGCATTTCTCGTGTCGATTTTGTTTTTCGTTGCTGCCGCCGCCGCTGCTGCTGTTGTTGTTGTTACTCGCTTGTTTGATGGATTCGATGTGAAGAGATCTCACCGAAGTGATTTTGAGTATGCATGAAGCACAATAGATAAAGTGGCAGAGCAAACGATTTTTATGATGTTGGTACATTGACATCCGGAACCTGCTGTGCTCGAAACTATTGCCGCGCTTCACGCGTAACCAAGCTGTATATGCCATTTTTCATTAGCCTCATTGAAAGGTAGTGTGTTGTCGACAGTACACGTTCTACAGCTTCAACACTGCATTGGCATCTCTCTCTCTCTCTTGAGTCTCCACCGCGTAATTTTTTTCTTCTTCGTTTAATCAAGGAAAACCACAGAAATTTTAAATCAAGGGAAAATACATTCAATTTTTATATTCATTCTCGACGCCCAACGTACTTGCGCAACACCAACGACAAAGATTTGTGTACACGAAACTTTGGATGAAAAGTTTTTAAACTTGTTATACCATCGTGTGATTGCGTGCATATTTTACGCCATAAAGAAGAAGAAAAAAAAGAAGGGAACATGCACAAAGATCGTCTTCGTTTGGCAAGAAATCTGATTGATTATATTCGAGTGTGATCTTTGCTAGAAATCAATGTATACGATTGCATAAAGTTCCCATTTTGAATGAATCATATCTGTTTGTTGTTGTTGGATGTGAAAACAAAACCAAAATGAAAATGTACGATGCGAAAGTGATGATGTCAAATCCGAAGAGTGAATAAAGCCCGAAAACGGTGAATTTCCACATCGATTTCATTCAATGAAATGGACCGGAAAGGCATTGTTCGGCGTACAGTTTATGTTCGCGAAAATTATCCAATTCGAAAACAATTGCATATACGCTCATGACGACCTAAGCGCAAATAAACGGATTAGTGTGTAATTGGTCCGAAACTATGAACACACTTTCACTCACCTCGTAGCTCGTACATGTTGGGCTTGGGCTTTGCGCTCGTGCTCGCATTTATGCTCCGTGCTTGTGTGTGTGTGTGTGTGTGTGTGTGTGTGCGCATGTATACTTGAGCGATGCTCTTTATTTCTGAATGTTCGCTTCAAGCGAAACAAACCATAAGTAAATTAGCTTCTCGAATGATTGAACTTGGTTTAGTTGTACACTCCAGACGATTGTTTAAATGAAAGCGAAAGAGAGCAAGATCCCCGATTGTGCTCTCTCTCTCCCGCCTAATGCTAGCAACAAATATCGAAATGGAAATTCAACTTGAAAATCAATTAACTATCATTTCAATCGTAAATAGAGAAAAAAAAATCGCAAAACAACAGCAAACGAAGAAGAAGAAGAAGAAAAAAAGAGCACCACGACCAAGGCACATGTAAACAATTCAACCACCTTCACTTTGGTGCACAGCGCACATCAACACATCGAAAAATGCGCCAACGAAACGAAGCCATGAAACGATCTAATACCGAACGTGATTCAAAGCGAAGCATAAAGCAAATTAATTTGACGGATTTCGCTGGCTGACTGGTTAAGGCAAGCATGTGCGCGTGCGCACACGGCCCAGAGAAAAGAAACCAATCAATTTCGAGAGTTGGCAAAGACAATAGCAAACAGCGATAAGGAAGAAGAAAGTCGTGTCGAGATTATCATTACATAATGCTTTTTTCGGTTTTAGTTGTTATGCTGTAAAAGAGTGGAAAACGTGCACATTCCACATGGAAACTTGATTTAATGAATTGGTATAACGAAGGCAGAAAATAAAATCGAAATAAAAAAAGGAACGATCAATCAAATATTCACTTTCATTAGATTGGATTTTTTTTATAGAATTTTCTTCAGTTCAACTAAAACACACCACAACTCGATTCTTCTTTGCATTTTTATAACGATAAATGGACAATGCTCCGTCAGTGAATCAAATGAAATGAAACAAGAAAAAACAACAACAACAGAGTAAAAACACCATTGGTCGTGCCACTTAATACTATAAATACAGCATTTAATTTTGTAAAAAATAATTATACTCATCGATAGTTGGATAAATAATCGATTAGAATATGATTTACATGAATCGCACAGCAAGAAACTGCACAAACATTGCGTTTGAATACTACTACAGTTGAAAATTCTTTCAAATTTTCTTTTGAAATGGTTTCAATAGGAGCATTTTTTTTTATACATATATTCACATCTAGTTGTTGTTCGCTTTTTGTTTAGATAAAGAAAAAAATTTTGTGCAAAAAAAAAAATAATCACAAATTAAACCGTAAAAATGAACTTATACGACGAGAAACGAATTCACCTCTGTGACTTAAAATACAAGTAGCCATATGCACATTGAAAAATGACACACCAAGATGATGGAATTAAAAAGAAAAAGAGCAAACAGAAACCAAATAGCCACTCGATAATAACCGGTTATTATTATTAGTTAAATGAGACGATCACTTGATTGCATATTATCCAATAGATTTTAGTGTTATACGAACACACGTTCATCTAAAGTAGCTCAGTGCAAAGTGTCGAGACAATGATATCCGCTTTACGGTCGCACCACCGTTGGTCATGTTGGTTTGGTTCGCTCGATTCGGTTCAATTCGATTGGATCCGAACGATTGGTTGGTTGGTCGGTCGGTCGACCAACTGATATCTCTGTGTGTCTATATGTGTATCTGAAAGGAAAAAAAAATATATCCCAAAAATCCCTCGTACATACCATTTTATCGTACACAAACACGCTCTGTGTTGTACCAATCACATACTAATTATCCGAGAAATTAGAAGTGCGCGATTTTCAAAACTGCTTTTGGTGTTAGCATTTTCATTGAAAATTGTTAATAATAACTAGATAGTACGTACTAGACAATTAGGTGTTAATGATACGATTCGTTTGGATTTGTGCATTTGGTTTGCGTTCAACACGGTTGTCGTAGTAGTTCAATAACAATAATTATGCTATTGATTAGGCTAGGAAGAGAAATACCGAGAGAACGAGAATGAAAAAGAAACAAATTTCAAAACAAACAACTTTAAAATACCTAAAACCAAAGTCTAGGATATATATTTTTGAAATGGAAAAATATTGAGCTAAACTCACCTGTACAATCACCTGTAGGATTGATTCTAAATTAGATTAGATTGCTTTTTTGGCGCACCATTCACGAACTAGAGCCTATCTCATTTGCACCCTACACTTGAATCTGCACTGCGCCGCGCTAAGCTAACCCATTCTTTATCGAATTCAAACGGATTCCGTAGCATGTGCTCGCAAGAGCAGGGGAGCGTGTACGTGGTACGCACAAATGAATTCCAATTGGTTTTGTCACCGCCAACCTTTTGTCAGGCGGCCCAAACAAATAAATTTAATAATTGATGCGCTTAGAACCACTTACATAAATTATTCGCCGGAATACATAAAAGCGAACCTCACACACATACTCATACACTCACACATACACACATCATCATTGCATTTGCATAGAATCAAGATAATCGTATATAGCTGTGCTCACGATTTTTTTTTATCAAGATATCGTAATAAACAAAAAATATCGTTCGATATCGTTATTATGATGGAATCTTAATAACGCTATCAACTTTTTATCAGGTTATTAACTATATTCAAATAATAACGTTATCGGATGAATCTTAATAATATCGTT